GGGAGATGTGTGTGAGAGAGAGAGAGAGAGAGAGAGAGAGAGAGAGAGAGAGAGAGAGAGAGCTTGGTGACATTTGGATCCAGACTCGACATGGGCTTCAGACATTTTGACGCGGGATTATTTGGGACGTGTAACGAGACTTGGTGTTGACGACTTTCCCATCTCCCCCCTCCTCTTCGTCTGATCCCCTCCTCTTCGTCTGTGCATGTCTGGACCTGGCGCCTTCTTCCTGTGTATAGCGCCAGGCCCCTTCACACCTTGTAGTGAGAATGATGCATGTTTAGTCTGCATTGCGACATTGATTGGGCTCGTCATTAGTGTTCTAGCATTCTGTTTCGCTATCTTGTACTACGTGAAAGAGGTCAGTCGGACTCAGTCCCAGTCAGGTCAGGACTTGTATCTAAATCTTCCACTGCGCTATGTATCAGGATGAACACTGCTTGTTGAGATTTCACTAGCACTGCATTGTCCATTCCGTCCTTTTCATCACATTGTGGATCCTCGTTTCATTATGTACATCGCCCAACCGGGCATGTAACACTTCCTAATCATTCTTCCTTATTGGCTAGTACTTAGTGTGACTGCTCAGATCATGATTCTGATTAGCAGAAAATCATCAGTTTTATCATCATCATCATCATACTCATCATCATATGCCGGTTACTCCGGGTAGACTGTGAGGACCCCGGCCTCAATGGTCTCAAATATCAATACAAGCCTTGGGCACTGGGCCCTTAAAAAAAAAAACAAAAAAAAAAAGATCGTGCTCAACAAACGTGAAGATAGGAATAGCCACGTAACAACCCAAGCCCACCCTGCGCAACCATCTGTACAACTTTCTATTGCCCCTAGAAGAGCCCAAAGGTAACGCAGATGCAATATGCTCCTTCCATCTGACAGTAAGAGATCTCTTAGTACAACCTATATACACATGTCGATACCAGGGCAAAGCCAGAGCACACACCACGGGACCCGGACCGGAAAGAAAACCATAGCCACCGCAGACCAGAGAAAGGAGAAGATCGCGAAACTTACTGCACCAACTAATATCTCCTTAAGGAATCAGCAGAATAACCACTAAGCGATAAATATAGTAAAAAAAATCACCTGACAACTCATCGTGCAAGTCTCGGCAGAATAGAGCCAGCTCCGGAAGTTGTGGCACGCCCAGGGAGTGTCCTCAAGCCTCATCAACGTCCTCAGCAGATGTGGCATGATGCAAATCCTGATCCTCCTTTTCGCCAACCTCCTTCTCCTTAAGCCACTCTGCATAGTCGTGACTCGCTCTAATCTCTGCCACATCAGCCTTGGCCTGATCGAGTTTGATGTACGTAATACCCTCGTCAGCGCAGATCTCCTCCATCTCATGCTTCTTCAGCTGCCTCAGTTCCTTTAAGCGGTTATCCCTAAACGCGGCCATTTTCGCCACTTCCAAATCGTGAGCCACATTGACAATGCCACGTTATCCTGCTTTCTCCTTCCCTTTGTCCTTCCCTCCCTCATCCGCATCGTCCGGCATAGTTTCCACATTTTGAAAGCTGGTCTTCAGATCACACGGCGTCGTCCTCCTAAACGCCGATTTACGTCCTGAAGGCCGTACTCAAGAGGCACCCATCTTTGCCATGCGATCCTTCAACATGTCTGCTTCTTTCAGGGCCATCTCCTTCCCAGCCAGCGCCACCTTGTATGCCTTCTGAAGAGCCTCAAGGTCCTTTGGAGTGTACATGGCCGTGGATGGATCCGCTCTCTGCTTACCCCTCGCTGGCTCCTCCGGGGGGCTTTTCTCGTTCACCGCCCCGGCGTCCCTTTTGCTACGAAGCACCACAAACTCTTCACCTAGCTCTGAAAAGTCCCTCTTCAAATGACCGTTCTCCTTTTTCAAGGCAGATAGCTTGGCATTCTTTTCCTCCATAGCCGTACGAAACGAACTCCGCTCCTTCACTTGCAGCTTTAGCGTCAGCAATTCGTCCTGCTTTCCTTCACCTGGCGTCTCCAGATCTCGTCTGCTTTTCAGTTCAGCGATCTCATTACGCAGTCGTTCCTCAGTTTCTTGATCCTTCTTCTTGAGCAGGGCTTCTTTCTCTTTTCGTAGAGCCTCTACCCGAGATTCGGTCGATGTTCCCAGACTCCTAGCACGTAGCTCCTCCAGCTCCTTCCGTAGCTTATCAACCTCGTTGTCGTCATCTTCCGGAACTTCCAAGGGCTGATTCACAAACCGCCTTCACACTGGTCCTAACAATTCTTCCTAATCTAGCCTCCTGTTGTTCTTTCTCCTTGTTCGCCTGCTGCCTTCTTTCCTCCTCTGCCTGTAGCTTTTTCTTCTCCTCCTCAAGTAGTTCCAACTTGGCATTCTCCTGCTTCTTCTGCTCTCGCTCCTCCACCTGGTCCGACCGCAGGTTGTACATCCTATCGATCTTGTCGACACAATCCTTCTCCCGATCTCGGTTGTTATACCCCCCCGACCACTGTCTCGAGTAGCGCTGTCCCTCATTGTATCCGCCTCCGCGACTATAGTGTCCACCATTGTAGCCTCCGCTGTTATAGTTCCCGCTACCCCCACTATAACTCCGGTTCTGCGCCTGCTGGTAAGGGACGATAGCATTCGATGTGCTCGCCCCTTGTGCACGGGGTGGCAACAGACCGTTGGAGTCACCCCTTCCCGGAGCAGGTGCCCCCCCATCCCGTATGCGTGCCGACATCTCAGCCCCATTAGGTTGGAAACGGAATGGGCACTCCCATGTGAAGTGGCCAGGAAGCTGGCAGAAATGACAAACATTCCTAAAAGCCATGTTACACTGTCAAGGGGCTAACCTGCCCCGGCTTGACTGAAGAGACGGGCCAAAGCCCTACGGAATTGTAATCCAGCGCTGGAGAGAATCTGATGAGGAAGAGAAAGAGGAAGGAGAAAGGAGGGAAGAGAAGTGGAAGATGGAAGAAGATGGATGAAAGGATGGATGGAAGGATGGAAGGATGAATGGATGGATGGATGGATGGATGGATGGATGGATGGATGGATGGATTGAGCAACGCAGTCACGCGGACAGGGTATACATCCCCCACCGGTCCGCTGTGTGTATGTGCAGTAGATAAATCTCATTCACCATGCAAGCCCTGTGAAACACATAAGGCTAATCCAAGAAATGGACGAAACAAGGCAAAGGGATGAAGGGATGAAGAAGAAGGAGGAAGGAATGGTAGCTTAGTCCCCCGAGCGCGTCAGCTCGTGAGAAATTATACGATAGCTGACAACAGGAATAAGATCGGCGCGAACACCATAGCATGAAGCACCAAACTGGCGATTACCTTACACGTGTTTCGGCTGGTCCGCCAGTGTACCAGCCATCCTCAGGGGTCCCGCTGGTTGACGAAACAGAAAAACGAGACTAAATCTTGTACAGACAAAATCTAGACCCCGATTGGAACCACACTGGTATCACCGACACCCGGTACCACAGGAAAACTCTCGAAGTTACCATCGGTGCCAAGCAGCCCATTAGCGGACCCAATTCGTAAAACACCATACCCATTCAGTCCAGGCCCCGCCAATCTTAATGTTGAAGTCTGTAAGCGCCTTGTCGAAAATGCCATCCGGAAAATTCCTTCGATGTAGCTCCGTCTTAAGGCTAAAAAGAAAAATGGCCTCCGTGGTAGGCAATGTGCCCAAAAGAAAAATGGCCTCGCTGGTAGGATTCTTCCAAAAGACTGATTGCTGCAAAAACTTCAAGCGGCTTACTTGCAGCTGAATTTTCCCAGAGTACAGGTGTGTTGCGTGGTGCCAGATCATACCATCAGTCCTTCTCGAGTGGGCAAAACAAAACGAATTAAGATAAAACTAATACTGATATCAGTCGCAACCTCGGGTACCACCGCTTCCCTTTTTTTTTATTATTATTATTTTTTTCTTTTTTTTTAACAGCCCTCGTGGATGCTAGGGGTGCTGGTAAGAGCAGGCACCGCTAGCATTCCAGGGGGAGGCTCCATCTATTGGTGGGGAGCAGCGCCTGCTGGAAAGCGGGTCCAGCGTCCCTGAACATTGTAACTGTTTGTTTGATGAATCAGACACACCATTGTGATGACAGTGCGCTACAGGGCTCACCTACAAAGTACAGAAATAGGGAAGTAGAGCTACCAAATTGCCTAAGCTGCTTGCATACCTGACAGCCTACAGTATGCCTAAATTGAGTGGTAATGTACACAGTTCACATGTCTGCTACTGAGAGCTGGCAACCGTTCCTATTCCTATATTGGAGTCTTGTACCTGCTGGAAACCGGGTCCAGCGTCCCATTGATACATCTTGCAACACAGAGATCCTCACGCAACACGAAGTAAGAGTACTGCTGGCAATGTTGCCTGTTTGATTGATACTCAGGATACCGCTGGTAGCGAAACCCAGTTCAAATGATACACAAAGTGGAGCTAGTCATATTCCCTCGCTCTGAAACAGTACAAAATGATACGACTGGAGTCCCACTCGAGCAGGGCCCAGAATACCACTACAAATAAGCCTAACTCGTACGATTCGTTGAGTACCATCGGAGGTGAACCTCTCTCAGGGAGCAAACGACATACTACCAGTGACAGACCCTGTTCAAGTTGCACAAGAGTACGGCTGATCAAACTCAGTTTCGAATAATGCGCGGGGTATCACTAGTGACGAAACTCACCCAGACGGAGCTCAGGTTTCCACTGGTAATGGAACCTTATTGATAATCTGCCCATACGCATACAGTTCTAAAGCACTGCCAAGCACAGTCCCTTCCTGTATACAGCACTGGCACCGCAAAGTGTAGATTTTCATATACAAAACATGGGTAATTGTATATAGTCTTTATTACTCCAATAAATCACAAAATGCCACTAGATACGAGCCCAGCCTAAATAGTACTATGTCCCTCAGGTGGTAATCTCCGTTCAAGTAGCAAACAGTATGTCACCATTGACACACCCCATTCAGGCTGCATATGAGAGTTATTTACAACTAACAGTAGAAATGGATAACGTTCCACCAGATGGAAGCAACCTTACTGACATTACCCAGCAACGCATACAAACAGGAATTTAGGCACAATGGGACACAACGAAGGAAAAAGCGGCATTTTTAGTATTTTACGTACTAGGAAGGAAATTAAAAAGCAAATAAAGCAATTCAACAACAATTGGCTGGGGGCGGACCAGTGGGAATGGATGGGTGAGGTAAGATGGCGGGGTGAAGTGGGCATGGAAGACCAGGACGGCCCCACCAAGGACTACCTTCTTCAGTTTCCTGAATGGACAGGCATTGATGGATCGGTCCTCCTGTGTCCCATCTCTGATTTTACTGACCCTTTTCCTCAGCACCCTCTCTCTTTGGTGGAGCTTCAGTGGTACGGTATGTAGAACAGCTTGGGGAACGGGGAGTATCAGGCGGTCTAGTCAGGACCGAGGAGATTGTTCTCATCCCTTATGATGAATGGCTTTTGTTGAGGAGATTGTTCTCATCCCTTATGATGAATGGCTTTTGTTATCTTTAGCCTAAACCGGTTAATGGCCCCGGTCTTGTTTGCAATGCTGTCCTGAACTCACAAAGCGACGGTAGGCCCGATTCCCAGCAAGTGTTGCTCCTCACAAATAGATAGGAGCATGTTTGAAAAAAAAAAAAAAAAAAAAAGGGGGAAGTACGTTTATGTCACATGGGAGTTCGTAATGGGCAGAAAAAACAGGCATCGGTGTCTGTGTCAGGGCCTGAGTTCGAAAAGGCGTTCGTAACTCAGGCTGGCGGTGGTGTCAGGGCGGAGGTTTCATTAAGGCATTTATTTATTTTTTTCGATGGGTCGCGCCGCGGCGGCAAGGAGAAAAAAAGTTTTTTTTTTTTTTTTTTTTTTTTTTTTTTTTTTTTTTTTTTTTTTTGTCCCCCCCCCCCACGTTTTGTTAAAGTTGGGGGGGAAAAAAAAAAAAAAAACATGGTCGGGCCAGGGCCGGGGTTTGGCCTATACATCTGGGCCATGGCCAATCTGGG